ATCTAAAAGGCAGTGTCATCAGCCCATCTCTGAGCACTATAAAATGACAAGTCTTTAGCAATCTGAGCTCCTCCCCCGGATTTATTCTCTGTCCTGTGATTGGACACTGAGTAAGTGAGTGATCAGCATGTGATTCAAGGCTGAAGAGGCAGGACATCGGGCTAAGAAATTTGGACTTGGCATTGGTAAAGCATCGAGGAGCCCTACACACAACAACATAAATGTAAACAATAATGACAACATCACCAAGGAAAGAAATTATATCTGAATCCAGTTTCATCATAACGACTAAGCATATGCCCAAAGAAAAGATGATAAAGTCACTCTTTCTCCTTTCTTGGCTGCTGGGGATGTGGACGTGGGATATTGCATTGACTGTTCATCTCCATTGATTTGGATGGAATGTGACATAGTGACAAGAGACCTTGACTTTGGATCAGAGGACTCAGGTTCAAATCCTGTTCTGCCACTTATTACCTGTGTGACTAGAGCAATGCACTTCAGCCTGTTGGGTCACATTTTCCTTATATGTAAAGTGAGAGTGTTGAATCAGATGCTTCTGAGGTCAATTCTAGCTCTAATCTAGACTTCTATGTGTTGGTTACTTTTGCCAAATAATTTTACCTCTTCCTTTTTAATTCTTTGCTTTACAAGATGACTCTGGGGCAGGAAAAGAAGAAAGAGATATTTAGAAGTGAAAAGTAGGCACTGGACCTGAGATTTCATTGAATAAGAGAGATTAAGTGATTTGCCTGGGGTTCTAGAGTCAGTATCTGTCCAATCTGAGACTTGAACTCAACCTTGGCTTTCTGGACTCCAAGGCCAGCTCACTCTACCCATTATGCTTTGCTGCTTCGCAGAAAATTAAGATGATGCAACAACAAAAGCTACCAAAAATTCCTTTCAAATGGAAGTTTCTGACCATTTGCTGGAAGGGCTACGGGATGACAGTCATGCTCGTTCACTGCTGACAGGACTGGGACCGCGTTTAACCATACTAGAAGACAATGTGAAATTATGGAAGGAGAGATGCTAAATGATTGATAGATTTTGCCTCAGAGACGCCAGTGCAAGGTCCGCACCCCACGGAGGTTACTGACAGCAAGAGCCGACCTTAAAGGGAAAGAAAAAAACTTCTGGCAGCCTATTTGTGATAACAAAAAGCTTTGGGCAAAGTAGATGCCTAACCGTTGATGAATGGACAAATGAATTAGAGTATATGACTACAATGAAATGTTATTGCACCACAAGGAATAATGAGTACAAGAACTCCTAGAAATTTGGAAAGATTTGTATGAGCTGATCTGGAGTGAGAAAAGTAGCACCGAGAGAGAAATGTGCATAACAACAGCAATGGTGCCAATAATGTCCAGACAGAAAAACCACAAAACACGGGCCGGGCCGTGTGCAATGCCTGAAGGTGATGCTATGCTACCAAGGCCAAAAGCCATGTCTCTTCCTTCTGTAAATAACCACACTGTTCTCCAGAAGAAGGCAAAATATAACGTTTTTTAAGTGAATCAAAAACATTAATGATGTCATCCTTACTTTGTCTTCACAATTCATGAAGTGTTTTCAAGGAATGTTTGGGAATGTCTCTTATTTAAAAACAAAATGTGTCAATGACAATTTAAAGGAGAAATAAAATTGGAAAGTGCTGGTGAAAGATATCTTTGAGTATGAATATATGGTGTTGGTAATCAGAAGGAAAGAAGGAAAGGTAAGAGGGAGGAAGGGAGAGAAAAAGAGAGACAAAGAGGGAAGAAGAGAAAGGAAGGGAATTGGGAAGGGAAGGGGAGGGGAGGGGAGGGGAGGGAAGGGGAGGGGAGG